CTCATTAAATTAAAAATAAATGATTAACCTGGTCGAGATTCATGTTTGGCAGACCCGACCAGCAAGAATTTCTGCCGACCTGCAAGGTTCATTTTCAATTTAATGAGAAATGTGGACTTTTTCCATACTCAAAGGGTGGGGGTTGGAATTTTTTTTTGTCGAAAATGATCAATCTGGTGGAGATTAATGTCTGGGAGATCCGAACTGCATGAATTTCCGTCGACCTGCAAAATTTATTTCCAATTTTTTGAGAATTGTGAAAATTTTGGGTGGGGGTTGGAAATGTTTTTTGTCGAAAATGATTAACCTGGTCGAGATTCATATTTGGCAGACCCGACCTGCAAGAATTTCTGCCGACCTGCAAGGTTTATATTCAATTTGATGAGGAATGTGAAATTTTTCCATACTCAAAAGGTGAAGGTTGGAATTTTTTTGTCAAAAATGATTAACCTGGTCGAGATTCATATTTGGCAGACCCGACCTGCATGAATTTCCGCCGACCTGCAAAATTTATTTGCAAATTTTTTGAGAATTGTGAAATTTTTGGGTGGGGTTGGAAAATTTTTCTGTGGAAAATGATTAACCTGGTCGAGATTCATGTTTGGCATACCCGACCTGCAAGAATTTCTGCCGAACTGCAAGATTTATTTTCACTATAATGAGGAATGTGCAATTTTTCCATACTCAAAGCAATGTCTACTGAGAACAATTTGCTGACCTGCAAAATAGTTATTCCCTCGAAAAGAATATTGCATTTCTGGTGATTAGGAAAATTCTTGTTTTTGGCTTTCAAGACTATGGTGAGGGAAAAAAACAATCAGATAAATAGTAGCACTATATTAACGTGTAGCATAGTAGCAATATTTTATTTTAACGTTGAAAAACGTGCAACGAAATGTGGTGTATACGAATATCTTAAAAAAATATTTTGATTCAGATGAAGTGCAAAAATAGGTTTTTATTCATTTGATCATTACACAGTCACATAACTTCATTAATTTTAATTCTAGAAAGTCATTGAAAGTTTTTTGTTTATAAATCAATGTTATCCTAGAAAAATATATATACAGAGGTTTCTAAAACAGTTTTTTTTCAACTCTAAAACACGATTCTCTCATTTTTTTCTCCCAATTTTGTACCATCAGAAATAACAAAGTTACTAATGGTGGACACTTAATTTGGATATCACTGTATATTTGGTGCCAGCACAGTCAGAAAAAAATTGATGAGTGTGCTGCTAGTCACGGATCATATTCATTTATGGGATCTGAACACGCGACAACACGCCAATTTGGTATAGTCGAAGTAACCGGTATTGTGCATAGTTAAAGGTGTCGGCGATCTCAAATGCCAAAAACACCAATACAGAGAAATAAAGCCGCTGCCAACTAGTCCACCTGGACTGAAGAATTGGCGGTTCGTATTGGATAATTTTTACTAATCGAGTTTTATGATTGGCTGAAGAGTCATAAAATTAAATTTGAAGTCATGTTACGGTGACGAATAGAATACGAGGATGGTTATAGCAGTCGTGTTGTCAATGTTCAGTTCAGGAACTGATGGCGATTTGAGTGTTGAAATTCGATATTAGTGCAGGTATAATTACTTAAAATGTTTGTTACCTGTTTAAAATGTGGCGTCCTTGGACAAGTACTGATAATAATAACGAGTGTGGTAACAACGCATTCCAATAGCGATGGTGAACAATGCGAAAGAAGCAACATCAGATTTGACCGAAATTACTTTCTCAACTGTACGAAAAATAGTCAAAAACAAACCTCATGAATGCAAGACGCGATGTGATAAGGGATTACCAAAACCTTTAGATGTTCATCTAATAATCTCATTGAAAAAAGCAATATACGACTGTTACAAAAGTAATGACATTCCTACAACTGAAATCCATAACGTGAGCTGCTATGACAAAACTCTTCAGAATTGGATAAAGAAACTAGGATTTAGATTCAGAATAATGAACAAACGACAAGCAATTATGAAACGCAGAAGAATAGTGGAATTGCGTAACAAATACTTAAAACAAATAACTAAATTTAGACAAGAACAACGGCAAATTTTCTATTTGGACGAAACTTGGTGTGACACTCACGGCACAGTTACGAAAGGATGGACTAATGGTTCGAAAATATGTACGCCTAACATGCCTGCAAACAAAGGGTCGCGACAAATCATTGTGCATGTAGTTCCAACGGTATAGGCAGCGCACGCCAAGATAGCTCTCAGGGCCTATACTATATATAGTCTATATGTTATTCAGATGTATGAGCTGTATTTATGTAAAGTTTCATCTAAATCCGTTCAGTCGTTCAGAAGTGAAAGAGCCACAAACATACATACATCCTTCCTCAAAAACTTAACATTTATAATAGTATGAATATAGATTGTCTATTGTCTGCCAACAAGGATACATCTATCAAAAATTATTTGCGTTGTTCAAGAAGTACACTGGGATTTTCCCAAACCCCTAAACATTTCTGTTTTCCCAATGAAAACCTCCAACGCCGACTTTACGTTCCACAGTGGAAAGCCCGGAAAATGCCAGTGGAAAGCTTGTGGGATTGGTAAATTGCTACCAAATGGAGGAAAACTTCCCTTTGGACTTTGAGATGGAGTTTATTCTCAGAAAGTTTTAAACTTCCACGGTCAGGGCCGGTAGCGCTATCCATGAAGGGAGTTTTCCTATCGGGAGGGTAGATTGTCGAAAGAGGTGGCACTTTCCTAGGAAGAGTTCTGTTAGGGGGTGAAAAATAAAAACAGAAAACTGATTGTTTCAATTATGGTAATCACACTACAAAAATGTGTGTGAGAAATAATCAATAATACATGTGTCATTAAAAACGTACTTATTCGACTACTACTTCCTACTACTTCCACTTCCTCCCTCGTAAACACCAATCAATATCGTCTTCCCCGGAACCCGGAATCAATTTCGATACCATTCTCACCCACTCTGCTATCCTGATGAAAATCCTCACTATCGGCGAACATTCCGGAGTGGAAAGTTGGAAAGCGTGGAAAGCTCCGTGAAAAAGCGCCGCAGAAGCTCTGATAAAGGATGGAATCATCCCAAAAATGGGGAAAAAGCTTCCTGGAAATCTGGAAAGCTTTCCAACGACACGTCTAGCTGTTGTCGCTTTCCAGCATGGAACTTTTAAGAGCAGGGTGGTATGAAGGGAAAGGAGGTGACCAAGTTTTCCATTGCTGAACATTTTTTGGGATTTCTATGTACTCAATACCAATTTTCATTGGTATTCATAGTACCTATCTATTTGTTTCCCGTCGTTGGTTTTTTAAAGTCACATCAATAATTACATTTGTAACCTGAAAAAAAATCAAAGCATTCGGCTCTGTTCGTCTTGAGTTATCAGTGGTTTCATTGAGAGATTCGTCAAGAAATATAACAAACTGGATTGAATTGTAGATATATGACGGAGAGAAGTATGGTAGTAACACAGTGAGGTTCTTTTTCATAGATTCGAAACGTGCAGTTCGGTATGCCCCAAGGCTCAGTTGTTGGACCTGTGTCATTTTTATTTTATGTGTATGATCTATCGTAATGGTAGCTGACAGTCATATTACCATATTTCCATTTGGAAAAGATGGTATGAAACACATTTGTGTAAATGATGAGATTCAACCTGAAAATGAAAGAAAATTCTCGCCACTAATCTGGATTCAAACCTGAACTAAGATATGCGTTTTGATTGAACTTGTTTTGATTTAAATAAAGCGTACTACGCTTAAAAACAGTTGAGATCGAGTTGAGTTGAATCTACTTCAGGTATTTAGCATTTATTTAACCATAATATATTCACATCTAGTTGGCAATGTCATCACCTGGGGCAGAGCGAGGGAATTTTCAAAATTTTCTTCGCACAAAAGAGAATTTGACAAATAGAGTTGGCAACCAATGGCGTGAAATGAGTCTATTGAAAATACTTTTCCACGCCAGAATAAAATTATTATAAGATTTTGAGCACTACTGCTTTACATTTTTTGTTGAAAAATGACTATTGTTGGTTCTAAGATCGCAATAACTTTAACTGAATTTGATAAAAACAAAACATAGAAATTGATAATTATAACATCAAGTTTCATCATATTTTATTTTCCACTTTCTATTGATTTCAATTTCTATCTTTAAATTTACTTCCACTTTTTGATTATATCTACACTACCTACGTATAATGTGAATTTTTAAAAACAGTTGATAGGTAAATGCTTTTTTGTTTTTATAGTGATTGAAAATGAAAAAAGTACAGTTTGAGTATGATATAAATCACGACTAATGATGTGCATAAAACACATATATTCTGAAAGTCATTTCATATAATTTTTGTTCATTTGTCTATCTCAGTATTTCTCCCTTTTTGACACCACCATCTTTGAATTACAGTTTTCTTGATATTTTTATTACTAAAAATACCTAATGAACCCATATAGGAAATCCAATTCATATAAATATTAATTCAATTCGATTATATCAATTATTATTATGAAACAAGATATATTAATAAAATACCTACTTTTAGTGAGTATTTAATTTATATGTTGCATCGCTTACATTCCGCCGACACTAACTCAGTCAAGTTAACTATATATACCTGAATCCAAGTTGTCCTAATGTACTCGCTTCGGCGGTACATATACTAAAATTGGAACGATACAGAGAAGATTAGCATGGCCCCTGCGCAAGGATGACACGCAAAATCGTGAAGCGTTCCACATTTTTTAGACAAATGTAAAACCCGTTAAGGAAAATTCAATCCTCAAACCCATTATATAATCCATACTTTTTTTATATTTCCGGAACATATTTGAAGGAAAATTAAATTTAAAATATTAAATTACAGTTATTGCGATCTTAGAACCAACAATAGTCATTTTTCAACAAAAAATGTAAAGCAGTAGTGCTCAAAATCTTATAATAGTTGTGGCACCACTGAATCTCATAACTTCGAACAAACATCTATTGGCAACATTTACATATTTCATGGTTATGTTTATAAAAAATATTTCAAAATTTATCAGTTTTAATAAAACGTATTCTCATCAATTTACATTCATGTCATCACAAATTTCAACGTGGCGAGTACCCAAAATGAACTAATTGACCTCTTGGTGTCATTTTTTGACTTAGTAAGTAGTTATTTCAAAGGAAAATGTTCAATCCTTTCAGTAATATAAATGAAAATATAGACTCATCCCCTTCCAAAAATCGGCGAAGGGGCTCTGCAGGGGATATCAACGACTCGTGCCAAAAGATGGTGAGCAAAAAATTTTGAAATATATAAAATATGTGAAACGTACCTACTGAATAACTAATTCCTGACAAAACTGTACTCTCAATCTTTATTATTTGAAGTGGTATGTTCGAGTCCTATACTGTAAATAAAAAGTTTTAAAAACTTGAATCTTAGGGTGAATTCATGCACCATCAATTTTCAGTAGCAACATTAGAAAATGAGTATATATATTTTCACTCATTCATATCAATAAGTTTCAAGTGGTACCAGATGAAAAATGTGAATACTTATGACTTAAAAGTCGTGACTGAGGCTTATGATTTGTGATGAATCCATGCACAGTTAGGTTGACTTCTTCGATCAAATTGAACTTTGAATTGGAACTATTTCCATTATCGTTTAATTGTAGATTGAAAAATTCCATAATTCCAATCCTCTATTTGGTAAGATCAACATTGTCCATAGAAACGTAGTCATTGATTCTCGATAAGATCCCTCATCAATATGTTGTAAGTTGTAAGATTTTAGTAATAGCAAATCTTAGCCTACATGAACTTTCACGACCTTAAACTTGCGACTTGTGTATGAACACACCTTTTATTCAACCCTACATTGAATATTTTTGTATATTATAACTCTAAAGAAAAATGGTTAAAAATATTTTCTTGGACAAATTGTGAAACGATCAGTCAAAAATAACTAGGCAAAACTCTTTTAACTTATCCAGTATCCTATGTACATATTTTCGGGCTCCTTTCTTTCTTGCTACTGCCTAGCTTTACCATGTTTGTCCAAAAAATTCATCATCAAAAATACAGCAACTAATGGATATCTATTAAGGTAAGAAGGCAAATGTTTAAGGAAAACGTTACACCTTCTCGCTAATTATTGAAATGCTGAAAGAGTAAAAAAATTACAGACAAAATAGGTAACACTGATAATTGTTATTGTAAAAAAAATGAATGCGCCACAATATAATGCCTAGGAATCTGGGAAAATGATCTCAATTTAGTGTTTACTACAGTAAGGGGATATTGAAATCAAAGCCTGAAAAGTGCAAATTGTACAATTCATGGGATGTAGTGAATTCATTTGCTAAACATTTTTTCATTGTTGTTTTTTATCGACATTCATTTTGAGAAAAAATCTAATGTTGCTGTGTACTGGCGGTTTGAGTATCATTCGTAGTATTCAATATTCCTTTTTTAATAATCTTATATAAGTACTCGTCTATATCACATCCCTAGCCTGATGAAGAATAGTGAAGATCAAAATATTTTCATAGGTGAATTTATTGATAATTTATATTATATTATTGACTCATATTTTAGAATTTCAACCCTATTGATCCCGCTTTATTATCAAGTCAATCTTATGACAGTGAAGCATATTTTTTATTCTTATCATTATAGAGGGTGATAATTTTGTCATCAGTGTGATTTTGCTCACCAAATTTTTGATACAAATGATAGATAAATTATAAAATAATATTTAAACGACTGTACCTAATATGATGGTTAAATATGATGGAACCTAATTAGATGAGTCTTTCATTTGGAACTTGCACATCGATAGTGTCCCAAAAAAATCAATTTTTTTTTCACAATCAAACGACAAACAAACCTAGTTGCCCTCAACAAATAACTAAGCATTCACTTTGTGATAGCTTTCTTGAATATACCCTGGGATTCTGGAAGGGCTATGTTGATTATTCCCTTCAATCCGATAAAATGACGAAAAAATTGAAGACTAGGCAACCAGAACATAGTTTAACAGCGATAAAATGCTTCTTTTCAACAGTAATAAAGCTTACAGGGACAAAAGTGACAGCCATGAAATTAAGACCTAGGTGTCAACTCGAATGAATATGTAAATCAAATAAAACTCACAGTACCTACAATGAACAGATACACGACAACGAAGTGAAAAATGTATTGCCACACTTCATTGATTCACATAACCTCACTTGAATGAGACAAAAATTAATTAATTCAAATTCCACTCATTCCATACCAATCGAGCAATCAGCAATAGATAAAACCACTCGTCCTACGAACTCATGGTTTTATCATGCTGATTGCTCCCACATGGTATCACTGAATAATGAAGTTTTCGTTAAATGGAAAGGTATTGATAAAATTTAGAAGTCAGAAGTGGTATTAGTATTGACAGTAAAGAACTTTATCATTATAAATTAATTGTTGATATGGAATATAGAGGCAGTTGCAAACCATATTAGAAAAATTCTGGCTATGTTTAAATACAGTTCTTCAAATTTATTTTTTAGAAAGAATGAAATTTCATCGACCACAAATTACAATTTCTATTACATTCAATAATTTCTGCAATAACAAAATTTGCTGAAATTATACATACAGTACGTAAGAAAAAATCTCACAATACAATAGGTATGACTCACATATGGATATTACCAATATAAATACACATATAGACAAGTATATACACATATATACATATACACACATATACATATATTAGCACCACTGACAATTGAATACCTCATCAATCTTATAGAAAGCTTAGGTGACAAGTGAATTTTTTACTTTGAACTTCCATTCTTTTATTTATGAAGGTCTTTCCACTCACTAGGCAAAATGTTATATATTTTTATGAGAAGAAACTCCGTTTCTGTGTTTTTATAATGCATCTTCGGTAGCCTGTTGATGTCTTTGTGTTTAGTATCATGATTGTGAATCCTGGAGTCACCATTATATATATTTTTATTTTTATGTATAAACAATATTCCTTCTAGAATATAAATGGAAGGTAATGTAAGTGTGACCCATTTTATAAAAATTGGTTTAGCATGGGTTCTGGAATCAACTTTTTCTAAATCTCTCATTATCTTTTTTGGATAATGAATACTTCACTTGCATGTGAGGAAGCACCCCATATCAGTATTCCATTCCAGTATTTAAGACATCAAATATTCCTTTTCAAAGGTGAGGTAATTCGAAAATAGAGCTGAATCAGATATTATACCTCTCAGAACATTTATCATAAAGGTAATTCTTTATTTGCTTTGGTACAGTTCTGTAATTATATATTTTGTGTCTAATTTAAAAAAATCTTTGGATTGATATCAAATTTTTTTCTTTCTTTTTTTTCAGTTCATTATAATTTGAATCATTGATGCGGTCATTATTAAGTTTTATCTTCAAGTGTATAATTCTCTATGATTGAGATATCGTCGTATGCGTACCAATTCAACTCCATAGCACATTCTTGTAGTTTACTATTGAATTTACCTAGACCGTTAGAGCAACATTTTATTTAGGACACTGTAATTCCTTTTGTCTCGATATTTACTAATGATATAATTTGATCTTGCCAGGACTATTATATACTTCAAGCCGTTCATATGTCCACCTAGAACAACTGTAGGAATACCAAAATCATTGGTTTAATACCAGATCAGGAAATGGGTTAATAGGTAACTGACACAAAGAATACAAAAGAGCAGGGATCCGCTCAGAATAATTACAGGGTTATTTATTGCACAATGCTCATTTAGAGGATATTTGAACAAAATACGGTTACATAATATAGATCTTTAAGGCAGGCCATACAAGAAAACAGACATTTCCTCATGTTTTATGCGAAAGGTGAGGTACTATGTAGTAGAAGGAAAGCAATTTATGGGCAATCATAATTAAGTCCATTAGAATACAGCAGACATGCAGAAAAAGACCCATAGAAATTAGTAAATTGAACGAGATTATTGAAATAGGCCTCATGAGAAATAATGAAGCTTGAAAGAAATAGAAAAATCATACATTTTCCAAGCAGTGCTAAACTCAGTGTCCCATTTTTATAAATGAAATTTGAAAATGATTTTTACTAAAATCTTCATGGATACTTCCATTGTACATGTTTTATATTCTTTTAGTTCAACATCTATATATTGAGGAAATATTTTCTTTGTTTCTTCATTTGTCTGATGGAAAGTCTTGCTTCTTTGTTCTATCTTTGATATCCGATTTTCATTATGCCTATTAATCAATGATATAATTTGTGCTGTCTGAAATTCTGAACTGTTCTACTTCATTATATTGTTTTGACTCGGGACATGTATTTATTGTATCAAATTAGGTAAATAAAATTAATATTATTACCGAGTTACTTTATTCTTTCCAGGTGGACAATTCAGAAAATATTTTAAAAGTACTCAAGAGATTATATTTTGACAAACAAATGTGCGATGTCTTCCTACAGGTGGGCAGTAAAGAATACGGTGCCCACAGAATCATTTTATGTGCCTCTAGTGATGTCTTTCAGGTTTGTCCACTGCACTTCATCCTTTATGCATTTTTCATACATAGGTTTTTTTTCAGGCAATGCTTATGAGTCCAGAATGGACAGAATGGCACGAAAGCAGAGTTCAGCTCCAAGAAATGACTATTTGTGAACCATATTTCCATATGTTTCTAGAATATTTTTATACCGGTAAAATTTTAATCACTCACACAAATGTGATGCCAATCCTGGCTCTGGCCGACAAATATATAGTTAGGGTGAGAAAAAATTGCAGCATAGACTCAATTGACCTTTTCTTAAACACCTCTTATTTTTTTAGAGTCTCACAAGGACTTGTTTGAACTACATGTGCAAGCACGTACCTCACGCATCATCACACAACCAGCTGTTCTCTTGGTTACAATACAGCATGGTTTGTGGGCATCAAAAAGTATTCGACACATGCCAAAACTTTATAAAATGGAATTTTGAATCGGTTGCTAATACGCCTGACTTTAGCAACTTTGACATTGATACGTTTGTGAGAATCTTGCAGCAGAGTGATATCGTTGTACATAACGAGATGGTCCTCTATAACTGTGTTGTGCGGTGGCTGGATTTGCAAAAAATAAAGCTTTGTCAACATCAGGCAACTAACGAAGATATCGAGGAGGAGTATAAGATTTTGGTGGAGAGGATTATGCGATATATAAGGTAATAGATCAAAATTCATAACATGTAAAATCTTTAGATGCTTTCAATTGTTTAGTGACACTGATAAAAGAGTCTTTTCATTCGGGATTATTTCCATTTTTTTCAAAAACTTCTTTGGTGGCTTAATGTCTTAACAACTTTTAAAGATATGAATCACTTTTGACCCAAAAATGTCATTCAAAACCCATATTGCAAATGTTACTTCTAGAACGCTAAAAATGTTATGTTTCACTCTTAATCTGCAGAGGAATTATCTCTCTTTTTTCTTAAGGACAAAACACAAGCATTACAGGAAAATCCTTAAGGCGCTCTAAGAGCGGTGCCTGTGCGATAATAGCGATTCACATTCCGCTGGAGATTAAATCCATTTGGAAAAACGTTCTCAGGAAGTTTATTCCACATAAACGCAGTTCTCCAAATGAAAGAGTTCTGAAACAGTGAAGTTCGAGGTGTACTGAGTTGAACCTCAAAACGATGAGCAGCCACAGTCCGTCGCATATTTCTGATGTGTACCGCTCTTGGTGGAATCAAATGTGGCAATTCACTTGGACACTTCTCTTCCTTGAAAAGTATATACTGTTCAATTGTTAGATCAATAATCGAATACAACTCCACTATTTGGTACCCTTCATATAATGTGGATATTGATATACTTGAAAGTGTTCAAAAAAGTTTTTGAGGTACTCAGCATACAAACTGGGATATCATATTGGTGAATTTAACTATAAAACTATATTGTTTAGACAGACTGCTCAAACGTAAATCTTTAGGAACACCACCACCTTGTGATAAACGTGGTAAACATCCACCGCACAATAAAACATCCGACGTAAAGAAAATGGAACTAAAGGATTTCATTGAAAAATTTCCATGGTATGAATCTCACTATGGCCGGGAAAAAAGCAACCATAGAAAATACTTGTCTCCAGATTTGAGTCTCGGTAAAATGTACCAGTTGTATAAAGATGAAACACAGGATCCCCTGTCTTATTTTATATTCCGAGATACGTTCAACAAGGAATATAATTTGCACTTTCATCCACCAATTACTGACTCTTGTAAGAAGTGTGACTTATTTGAAGTAAAAATAAAGGCTGCCGATACTGAATCCAGGGGAAAACTCGAAACTGAAAGAGAACTGCATCAGAAGAAGGCGAAGAGTGTTAGAGACTCTTTAAAAAGAAACACCAAAATGGCAAAAAATGGAAACGCGTCTTTCATCTGTTTCGATCTGATGAAGACTTTGCCTACACCTGTGCTTACCGCAGGAGTTTGTTATTACAAGCGGCAATTATGGACTTACTGCTTTAAAATCCATGAAATGGGAACTAACAACTCCTTTTTGTTTGTGTGGAATGAAACCGTCGCCTCTAGGGGTCCTCAAGAGGTAGGATCCTGCATTCTATTTTACCAATGTGGCAGTCAGAATCGTAATATCAAAATGTCGTTATTATGTAACTATATAACTGCATCTCCAAACTTTACTGTGGAAGAAATAAACTACAAGTTTCTGGTAAGTGGTCATTCTTACTTACCATCTGACCAAGATTTTGGTATAATAGAAAAAGAANTTATGTAACTATATAACTGCATCTAGAAACTTTACTGTGGAAGAAATAGACCACAAGTTTCTGGTAAGTGGTCATTCTTCTTACTTACCATCTGACCAAGATTTTGGTATAATAGAAAAAAAAATATTCCATCCACATGTATTTATACCCCAAGACTGGCATACAGTCATAAAGCACGCAAGGAAGAAACATCCATTCATAGTAATAAACATGGACAAATCGAATTTTTTTTCTACGAAATTTCTGGAAAGTACTATAACCAACAGAAAAGTTTCGGAATCCAAAACCAAGGTAGAGTGGCTTAAAATTCAATGGTTGAGGTTTAGGAAAGAGTTTCCCAATACTCTTCAATATAAGTATTCAAACCACGAAGATGTTTATTTTGAAACAGTCGATCTTAAAAAAAGGAAATCTGTTTCCAAGAATACAATGGGATTGCCACTTTTGTATCCAAATGGTAATACCATTAATGAAGCCAAAAAAAGAGATCTTCTTCAGTTAATGGAATTGATCCCTCCTATACACCATGAATTTTATAAAAACCTGAGATCTTCAGCTCAAGCAGCCGGAGGTGAAATAATTGGCCCATTTGACGTCGAAGAGAATTAAACATTCTAACTTCTTATGTTTGTATACACATTATGTTCGAATAAAGTCTTTTATGTAATATCGAGTGTATTATTTTGTGGGATAACCCATTCAATAGCATAAAATATTTCAACTGCAAAGTGGACCAACCCACATTAAAAAATGGAATATAGGTGTGTACCCGAATTTTTTTATCAAATTCATAAAATAACTATTATCTAACATACTTCCATTCATTCAAGTCCAAAAATATTCTTAAACAAGGTTATAGTAGATCTTCTAATTTTCACTTTTTTTAAAACTCATTTTCTACCATTTACAAATATTGGGGTTGGTCCGTTATTGCACTCATAGCCTCAACTATGGCCAGAATGAGTCTATAGGTAGAATTTTGAGACTTGCTAACACTCACAATGTGAATTTAGAACTGTTCAATTCTTCTTTGGAATAATTTTGAAAGACTGAAAAGATTGTAAGTGATTGGCTTATTTTTGCTTTTTTTATATTTTTTTCCTCACATCTAGCTGATAGTTATAGTACATATGTGCAAATTTGGTAATTATTTTGTTAAAATAGGTAATGCTGTAAATGAATAAATAAATATATAAATTTCTTATACGATTTCACAGAGTTTATATTTCAATTATTTTTAAATATGTTTGGTACTGTCTTGCAAGAATGTTCTATAGTACTCCCTGCCTGATCTTTTTTTGACCACATCTATCGGGAGATTAGCTACTTGGAATGGCATAAGTGTGTTGTTCCATTCATTCAATCGACCGTTAGATGAAATGGTGGCACGAGCCGAGAGCCGTCCTACCCGTGCTAGGTATCGCACGTTAAAAGATAAGATCTCGTTACCACTTAGCTCGCACAAGTTTATACTTTTGAGAGTTGTTGATCGTAGCTGGTTAACGGAAAAACAAATATTTGGAAACAGATCTATCTTTCTAAAATATAATTTTATTTTGTTGCCTTCATGATGTTGTGTGTATATATGTATGCTCATTAACCTAGCATGTATATGGTCTTCCAACAGGGACTTCCGAACTTTCACAATTAATAACGGCCATCTGGTTAGAACTACGTCTGTCAAATTTGCTGTCATTCATTTAGTCTGTTTTACCGAATCACCATGGACGGATATAGCATTCAAAAACATGCGCAAATAAACAAACTGTTTTATCAAAACGGGTGTTCTGTTTGAGCAACGTACCGCGCGCTTCGCCCATTTTACGGTCGCCATAATCATTCTACCGAGAGGACTATTCGCAATGTGATGGATAAATTTGAGTCCACTGGTTCAGTAATCGATTGACCAACACCCCTACGTCGACGAAACGCAAGATCTGTCGAAAACATTGTCGCATGTAAGGGCATGGTAATCTCACGTGGCCACCGAGATCCTTCAATTTGACCTCGTTAAGTCTTTTTCTTGTGGGTTTTTTTTTAAGTCACAAACCACAGCAGTCCTCAAAGCCAACATAACCCAAGGCATTGGTCAAATTCAGACTGATTTATGCGCCAGAGTGATGGAAAATTGGACGTTTCGAATATGCTCCACTCAGTGAAGCCGTGGCGGACATTTGAATGATGTTATATTCCACACATAATGGCATCGATAGGTTTTTTAATAAAAAAAAAAATTCGATGATATCTCACACATACTTTGTTTTATTTAAATTTAAAAACAGGAAGTGCTTAATGGAAGACCCTATATTTTGATGTGAATACTTTGAACTTTATGCTTTGTTAACGCCTTTTGTTTTTTCGGCAATAAAGTTTATGATGATTGATTGCCTAATGTGCAGAGTGTCATATGATCATTTTCAGATTTCCTATGATGACTCCCAGGGAGTTGGCAGACCTGCTGCTTTCCCCTGTCATCAAGCAGCATAAAGAGTTCTTTGTAGATCGCATGGCCATAGGAATGAAGTATCACTCAGGATACTCGGACCAAATAATGAGTTACTACAACACTGAAGAAGGGAAATTGTTGTTTACCTCTCGGTTGTACACTTCAGACAGTTGCAGTGCTTTGTTGACTATAGAGAATTTCCACGACATTCCCAACTATCACACAAGTACTTTTGTATTTTCTTCCCATCTTTCTGCGGCAGAGCACGAGTCTCACAAGATCAACGAGTGGCTGGTTGATCTCTACCCCAAGGGGGTTTGGTTTAAAAAATGTTTTCTTATCGTGTGGCAGGGAACCCTTGAAGTAAGTGATTTTACCATTATTTTTGACCTGAAGAAATTTTTAGTTTTGGAAAAATTTATCTGTGAAGAAATACTTGCTAATAATGAACTTCATTTGCTAAAAATATGAATGCAATAAAAACATATGCTTAAAATTTGTCAAGTACAATCGGATGTGAATGGTAAAAATGTCGTACATGTAAATAATAAAATTAAAATATGTGTAACAATTCTTTCAATTGAATACATTTTCGAATCTCTTATTTCATGAAAAAAATCACCAAAATGATACTTCTATGAAGTTTCTTAGTGTTATATATATATTTCTTTTTCTGTGTCTTCCTATTTCTATCACAACAATTTTAGCAAAGTCTATTGATGCTACAATTGTAGAGTGACAATTTTTAGATTCAGATAACTTTAACATTTGAATGCTATTCAAAAAACTTCCTTATTGCTAATGAGCTGATTTGTATCATTCTTTTTATTCTGAACAAATGCAGGATTGAGTGTAATGATAGAGGTATGAACTGTGTTAACAAAATTCCACATTACATGAGCTATTTATGAGGGTGTCACCCTAGTCGTGAATATACATAATGACAAACCAAAAAACAAAAAAAACAATGCCCCTCACTTTTATTCAGTCAAATACTGAAATACACAACACAATGTTGGAGCTATTTCAGCCTGAGCTATCTCACAACTGCTTTTCTAATGCCATTTAACTGACGTTGGGGGGGTGTTCATCTCACAAAAGATTGCCCTAGAATTAAAAGAAATGATCTGACACGTTTTTGACATATATCAAATAAAAATTATTTGATCAGGGAAAGTTTTTGCATATTTCAAACACAAAATAATATATCAGTAGTGAATTGCAACAACAAATGAACAATCATAAATCCGAATCTTATTTCGTACGGTGTACTACAAGGTTCCATACTGGGACCAACTCTTTTTGTGATATATATTAATGACATTTTTGATTTCTTACTTCTTACTTTTTGCTATGCCGATGATGTATCAATGGTAGAAGCAGACTCAAATGTTAACAATTTGATGGGATCTCTGTTCTAGAACAGATAATATCTAATGCTGAAACTTAGTTTACTTCAAATTATCTCAAACTAAACAGAAAACACAGAAAATAATAATATCATCAAATAGACAAGTAACGAAGAAGCAACATGTAGATTTTTTGGGGTTTAAAATGGATGACATGTTGAATTGGGAAGCACGTATTGCTGGTCTATACAAAAAAACTTTCTACACAACTGTTCCTACTAAGACAGCTGAAAATGTGTCTTGGTCAAGGTATGGTAATACAGACACTACATATGGCATACTTTTATGGGTTCAATCTCCACATGCAATAAAAGCCTTTCGTATGCAAAAAAAGCAATCCATAGCCAATGTCTCTTACAGAGAACACTGTCGTCTTTTATTTCAAGAACATGAAATTCCAACCTTGCCATGTATATTCATACTCCACAACGTTTTAGAGATTCACACAAATAATACTGAGTACCTTACAAATGCTGATTTTCATAATTACCCAACTTGAAGAGGTGCGTGCACACCTGTGGCCTCAATTTATCGACTGAATCTATCAGCTCGAAATTCAACTCAACTTACATTTATATAATAAAATACCAATAAACATTACTGGTTTGAGTTATAACCGTTTGAAGGCTAGAGTTAAGTACTCACTATTGAGGCACTCTTTCTACTCCATCTATTTGAATTGTGAGACATTAATTTTTTCACATGTTAGTTTTGTTTTTTCTCATTTCAGAAATAACTATTTTTAAATGTAATTAGCGTGTATGAAACTATTGTTTGTCATTTCACTATTGTACATTTTGTAGTTAATGTGATGAAATAAACTAGTCAGTATGAACACACATGAAAAAGCTATTGTTCAGTGAAACACTTGTTGGGGTTTTATAAAGTGTTAATGAAAATCTCACTAGAAAATGTTACAGCTTGTCAAATGTAGAAAGAGCTGCCTGAATTCCGTTATGGTCCCGCCCACTGGATGTGCGTTCGTTAGAAGACTATGAGAGCGAGAGAGAGAAAATTCTCAAATCTTTTTCTAGATTTGACAGGCTGTACTTGAGTGTTTCAATTCCATCATACGACAACAATCTGCTTACACCATAGCATCTTATCACAATCACCCAGTAAGCTTTCTTACTGTTGCTTACCATCATTTATATGAATAAATTGTAGAAATTTGAATCATCATATGCAGAGACTCGGACTGTCGGAAGACAGCAGAGCACATACTTTATGCCTGCTCCGCTGGGGACCGAATCAGGTTTTCAGAGCTTGGCAGAGCCGTACTCTTACCATGTGACTTGAAAGACCACTCATCATACAAACTAATCAGCTTCCTTGAGAAGCTAGGTTTATTTGGTTGAGTGTGAATAGGTGTGAGCCACAATAAACCTTGAGGGTTGTGGTGGAGGGTCGAATAGACCCACTCACTTTTCAACTAACCTAACCTAAGCTTTCTTACTGTTGCTTACCATCATATATGGTATCGAAAACACTCAGCTATCAGATCATAGATTTCAAATCTGTGAATTCATTATAACTTCTTTTGAGAGTAATAAAGTAGATTTTATTTATAAGCAAAATTTCTCTGATGACAACTTGATCGCTTTCAGAGACTTGTTGATAAATGAACAATGTGAAGAAGTATACAAAGGCACTGATGTGAATGAATGCTTCAATGCATTCTACTCAACTTATCAATTCCATTATCATAATGTGTTTCCACTGAAAAGACTAAAGGATAGGAATAAAGGTAATACGGATAAACCATGGATATCTAAAGAAATTAAACATCTACATCAAATGGTATGTGATATGTGTAAAATAGCCAAGTCCACTGGCAAAGAAATTATCATTCAAAGATATAATCAACTCAAGTACAGGTATAACGAAGTAATAAAACAAGCTAAATTGGGGTACAACAACAAAAGAATTACTAGTGCAAATAATATAAGTAAGGAGAGTTGGAAAATTATAAATGAAAATAGATGTAAAATAAAAAATGAAGAAACTTTAGAACTGATCACTGATAACAATATAATCTCAGATAAAACAACCATTGGTAATCTTTTCAATAATTTTTTCATGGACATTAAAATAACGGAACCAAACAAAAACAACCTTAAATTATCGCCATTCTCATATGACAGTCTATTTTTATATTCAACTTCGCATTTTGAAGTTCAAGAAATTATTTAAAAAACTACTCAAACTTCAGCTCCAGGAATAGACGATATTCATGGAAAAACTCTAAACGTTGTTAGGGACATTATTTGTCACTCTTTATCATTCATAATAAATAAATCTTTTTGTGAGGGAACATACCCAAATTCACTTAAAATATCGAAATCTATACCCATATATAAAAACAAGGGATCTAAAAATGATATGAATAACTATAGGAATGTATGTGTGCAATCACAATTTGCTAAAGTAATTGACTATGGCTACTATTTGAGATCGAATAAATTTGTTGAGTATCATAAACTTATTCCACACTGTCAACATGGTTTCAGACAACAAAGATCAACATCATCTGCAATTTATAAATTATGTGATAACATCTATAATAATCTCAATAATAAAAAATATCCAATCGGATTATTCTTTGATTTAACCAGGGCTTTCGATACAGTTGACCATGCCCTGCTGCTTGAGAAACTGAATCGAATGGGAATACAAGGAATGGCTAATGAATGGGTAGCCTCCTATTTAAAACAAAGGTCGCAAATAGTAGTTATAGACTCAATTGAATCTCAACCTGTCCCTATTTCAATAGGAGTCCCACAGGGTTCAACTTTGGCTCCACTTTTCTTTATAATATTTATGAGCGATATAGGGTATTCATGTTATCTTCCCAAAAAACAATAATCTATGCAGATGATACCTATCAAATAATGGCAGAAAAGGAACTATCTCTTTCTGTTCAGACTGCAAATACATCTGCTGATGAATTCTCGCAGTGGTGTACAAATAATGGTCTACTAGTCAATGGTAATAAAACTTTTTTCATAAATTATCAACAAAAAAACGTTTCGTTAGACTACTGTCCCCTAATAAAAATAAATAATAGGTCTACAGAGCAGTTAGGCCAATATAAGTATCTAGGTTTGATAATTGACCAAAAATTAACCTGGGAAAAACACACTGACTATTTGACGTCCAAATTAAGTAGTGTTTGCTTTGTACTCGGGCAACTATGTAGAACAGTATCTCATCAAGTACTTAAGTTGGCCTATTTTGGACTTGTACAGTCTCATATATCCTATGAATTAACCTTTTGGGAAAATTCAGCACACTCAATAAAAGTGTTCAAAATGCAAAAAAGAATAAGATGTATTGCTGGCTCACACCACAGAGAATCATGTAAGAACACTTTTATTAAATTGGGAATATTGATGCTACCATCACTCTATATATTATTATTAGTTTTAAATATTAAAATGTTATATGTGTGTAATGTTTTTAATGACGAATAAATTATATTCTATTCTATGAAAAATATGCATATAAATAAATTGTAAAATCTTTGATCTGATGGTTGACCTAAGTTCTTGTAACGCTGATGAATTCCAAATTTCAAACTCTTATTTTTAAAAGTTGTGTACCGTATAATATTTATAAGCTAATAGCAAATGAATGGATGATTTCTTTTGCTTGGTTCCTCTGACAAGTATTAATTTTTCTAGAATCCCTACATTTCTCAACATGTAATTACATTTTTTTTCAGGTGCCTCAGGAAATCCTTTCTACAGTACGACTTTCCTTAACGTGTCGTGAGCTCTCTGAATTGGAAATGCGAGTTCGAATATCAGTATTGATTTACGGACTGCAAGGAGGCATCGAACACGTTACAGAAGTCAGGGAGAAGGTCCACCATTTCACTCCACAGGAGAAGGTAGTGAACATAGACGACTTGATTCCTTTCGACGAACTCAATCCCCCCGCCGTGATGCAAGGAGAGCGAGAGACTCCGTACTTAGTGGGACCGAACAGAGACAAGCTGAAATTGAACCTGGTCATTGCACCTATCAGGTAGCACGATGACCATAGTTGTTTGGTTTTCAGAATAGTGATGGCAGAATGAATGACTTGGGGCTGATATATGGATCATACTTCGGAGATATGGAAGTTTTTTTGGTATAAGTACTTGGGAGATTCATGATCTGAAATATAATTTCATTTATGCAAAATGGGAAATAAAATAATTTTTCGGGAAAAATATGAATCAGTTCAAAAATTTGTTTTTTGACAAATAGGTTTTGAAACAATCTGCACGGTAACTTTGTATGTAGTAACGCTATAAAAAACACTAAATCTCGAAGCTCTATGTCAAGTCTACAAAACAATTGAAATCTGTCAGTTATAAGATTCATTAAATGTTATCATTCTCATGGTAGAATACATTTTTTTCAAATATCTTTGTTTGTGTCAATGAAATCTTGTAAGGATTTTCAAAAAAGAAGAAAAGACACCATCTGATCGATGATTTTGAACTGAAAATTGGTCGATTTTTCAAAATCTTGACTCCTTTATAAGTTTCGGTTCAGTTGGGATATTGGTTAACGATTTTTTCTTATCCGATTCTAAGGACCATTTTTTTACATTTCTCCAAAACGTCAACAGTGAATGTACAATAATATTTGAAAAAGATCCAACCATGATCTGATTCTTGTTCAAAATTAAAAGTGACTTGGTTATTTGAATATTGATATGTCTCCAATTTTCAGTTCACTTTTTATGTCATGCAGCTGTTATTGACAAGAGGATCATATTTCATATTCCTTCTAAATATATGTTTTCAGTATTAGCAAAAGAAAAGTGCAATAAGCCCATGAAACTGCAGTGTTTTTGGAGACTTGGAATAGTGACTCTTCAGCACAAAAAATCAGTAAAAGCATAACTTTGTTCATTGCTGAGGAAAAGGTTTAATAACTTTTCTTAATTTGCATTTTAAAAGTTAACAATATATGGGCTTCTCATTAATAATCGCTCATGGAGATGTGGACAAATTTCTCTCTTAAAATTCACAGTGTGTCCTACAAAATACTACAATTTGGTCAGTAACAAATACTTTTTTTAATAGGTAATAGGGCCAATATCATGCACAAATTATGCCAGAGGTCAATACAAATCAAAGTAGATTAGGCATTCTCAGAAATCACTTTGTACAGAATATATTTGAAAAATTTCGTAAACTAATTGTGGAAGAGAAAGAGGTGAAAACTTTCATATAGTATTCTCAAAACTGACAGTTAAAATTTAATTGCGTCATTCATCTTATTGTAGAGAAATAAATGATTTTTTGTTTTCAATGCTATCGAAATTGAATTCTCATAGATGAATATTTAAATTGATTTTAGTATAAGTCACAATATTTATAAAAGAAATAAGAACGCCAAAAAATCTGTTTTCTCCACACCTCCAGTCAAAAGAAGCATTAAAAAAAACGAGCAATTATTGAAACATAATTTTTTAACTTTCCAGAATGAGTTTTTTCGAATATATATTGTACAAAAAGGGTGGTTGGAAATCCTGAATATGAAAGGTATTTTAATTTATATTGACTCTTGATATAATTTTTGCAAAAATGGATCCTATTACCCCCTGAAAAAGGGTATGTCATTATTTTTTATTAATAAACCTAGTTCTATGTTCTGTAACTCTAAAAAGTTGGTCGAAATCATACTTTCGCCAGAAATACGGGGTGACTCGATTAAAGTGGGGCACACTGTATATTCATTGGATGTCACTTTATGATATTAGGGTTTCCATGTTTTAAATAAAAAATTGGTGAATCCGTGTTATGTTTTCTGAACGATCATAAATTTTCCTTTGAAAATGGGGTATTTTTATTAGAATTTCACATAGTTTTCAAATTTATTAGCTTCATAGTAAAATGAAAACTGAATTTTCACATATAAGTTAGAGGCATGTTTTGTATTGAAATGAATTTTGTCATATTCTTATTCCAGAAAAAAATCCAAGGACAAATGAGAGAATTTTGAACTATTAAATTTCAATATTTTGTTTAGGTTATATTTTATATTTGCTTATTTGTTTTGCTTTTAAATTACTGGAAAGTATTGACATAATTAAAACCTTGACAAGAAAATAATAATTTATATTTGCATTGGAAAAATGTAAACTGGACAAGTGCCATATTATTGAATACTTTGTTTGCCATTGAAAATGGCATGCTATACATTTATTACTAGCTTGCAAATTAAATGATTAGATATTAAGTTCATCATTTTAATTACAAGATGTAAACCGTTTCATCAAAATAAAAGTTTAATACTGTTATTACATGAGTTGTTTTATATTTAACAAGTTTTCCTGGTTTTGTATATTGAGTGAGGCAAACCAAATTCCTCTGATACAATTGAACCTGATAATTCATGTGGCAAATATGCGTTTCTGACATTTTTCAAGGAAAGTCTCAAAATGTAATTCATTTTAGACACTTTTTGACGGCCAAAATTTTTTTAAATTGAATTTTAATTTTTCAAATTGTATAATTCACCTCTTGAACACTCCAACTTGATTAATAAAACACGCTTCGGAAAGAGTTCTGGTATGTGGGAGCAGTGTTTGTTTTGGAACCCATTTTGTATTCATACTTTTTTTCATTGTTGAATGAAAAACTAGAAACCAACTGTGAGTTCTACGAAGCCATAGTTTCAAGTACTCACAAGGGACAAAAACTCTTGCTGGACATCAACATAAATAAGTCACTAAAAGGTAAAATAAAATGCAGAATTTTTTAAACCACAAATTATGAAAAAATGTAAAAAAAACCTTGGCAGAAGTGGAAAAGTTTTTTTTCATACCAGATGAAGATATAAACCAACACCGGGAAGTTCTTATGAACATACTCATACCAAAATTTAACCACTGCTTTCCAGAAACAAAGATAAAATACCAGTAGAAGCACTTAAAATATTAGGAAAATGCGGAGTTGCGGGAATGTAAAGATCGACTGAATCTCTATTAGTACTAAGAAGATGAAAGCTATAGGAAAAACTACATTCGGGTCAAACACAATTATAATGAAATGTTAGAATCACGTAAGTTTACAGTATGGAAAGCGCATTGAAAATAGCAATAATGAATCAAAATGAAATGTCTGTGGTAAATTGTGAAAAAAATCAAAGGAAAAAACAAAATCACAAATGAATTGAAAATGTCAGGTGACACATACAATTTCAACAATTACTTTCTTAGCATAGCCTCTTATTTATTGAAAGATCTACCAAATACTGAATTTAGAATTAAAATGACATTAAGTAGGAACTCATTTTTCTTAATACCAATCCTGTGAGCGTTAGGGTCTAGGGAGAAGATAAATAAACTCGACAAGTATTCAATATAGTTATAATAGTTTAACAGTAGAGTTCAACAGTAGAGGTTGATTAACAATACAAGAATAATGATAAACTAAATTGAGCAATTTTTTTTGCAAATTGACATTTTCAGTTCGATAAGTACCTACACTCAAATCACAAAAATAAAGTGGAATGTCACTTTCGACAAGAATAGAAAAAAGGTTTTCTAAATGTAGAAACAGTAGAACAGAATTATAAATAAAAAAGTATATAGACTGAGCGCAAAATACTTCAATAAAAAGTAATTATCCTAACATAATTAAAATAAGCTTCATAAATGCAATCAATATTTAAATAAACGATACTTAAGACTGTAGAAAGCAATTTCAATTATACTAGTAGTACCATTTCGAGATTGTTTATATTTATATCGAATTCTGTTCTTTTTCTGATTGTCACTGGTTCTTATTAGAATAACTCGAAATTACAGAATAGTCCTCAAAAAGTTAACTGTACTTATGTTACTTTCAGCTCGATCATAGATTTTATCAAACTTAACGCCTACCTCAAAATATATTCACCCTGTGTATACAAATTAGAAAGAAGAGATATCACAGAGTCGCATGATTTTCCAAAAAAATATACAAAATATATCGACATTTTTCAAACAGTTAACTCTCTAACAAGCAGGGTGTAGCTTAAGTCTATGCATATCGTTTTGAGATTCCAATAAGTACTGAGGTTTCTGAACTTCAAGTATTACCACCATCAAGTGAAGATCAATTTATGTACATGTACAATTCAGAAGTATTTATTATAACCACCTTCATTAGCATTTTGATTTCAGCACTTTTCCAACACTACTTGGTACTTTGACCAATATTGATATGCAATATTCAACTACTTTTATCATTAGTCACAATTTTGACTATGATTATAGAATTGATTATATGATATGATATGATTATAGAAAATTGGTTCACTTTGCTTTTTGGCCAATATTGTTTTCAAACCTTATACCAGAAGATCAGAAGAATTCATTTTTGGAGCCTCTTATGCTTATATCATTTCAAAACAGTACTCATTAATCACACTGAATATCTTTTGTGCAGTACTGACATTTTTGGCATCTGAAATGCATAAATATTAACTAAGAATATAATAAAGTACCCATTCTTTCGATGAAAGTATGAAAAGAAATGAATTGTTTTCATCATTAAAACAGTATGGAGTACTTTTTCCAATTGGAATCTTTTAAAATATTTTTCATATATTATGAGCATCTTCTGAAATACTGCACCTTTTTCAATTTTACCAGTATTTATCAAGGTCAATTTTCATTTTTGGAATGAAAATTCCAGTTTTGATTGGTTAATGGCAATAATGACTATTTTCTATGAAGTAACTGTTACAATTGTGATCATTTTTGTATGGCCATGTGGGAGAAAGTAACTCTGAATGTTCTGGTTTTACAATGTAAGTACTTTTGTATGTAATGCATTATGTGTACAATATATTCGAACATGCACGGTCCCAAAGGAATTTTTGTTACAGTAACAATTCAGAACACGTCTGGCGTAACTCTAAAACATTTCAGGTAGTTTTGCCTGGCACCTGTGATTTGATTTCAAGAACAAAAAAACTGCGATAATAGCATTAAACAATCATAAATATTGCATCTCTTTGTTTCTATTTCAAATTATTTGACACTATTTTTGTTCTGTACTCATCAAATACATAAGATTATGGTATAGTAAGTTTTATGTTAATAACACTCCTTATATGAAACGAGTCACAAAAAATACAGCCCACTTTGAATGAATCACTAAAAGGAAGTTTATTTTGTTAGTTACTACACTTAGCCAAATAATTTTTGTCCAATACAGCAAATGAACAATGGAAGATATAGAAAACTGACACTTGAAACAATGAAAAATATTTAATTTAATATCCTCTATTCAATAGAGTCTATTGTATAGTTTTTGTGGCGATGCAAGAAACATCACAGCAAGTTTTAATTGAAATTAAAAAAGGTATCAAATTTCACCCCCAGAACTTTTTTGCTGTATCAATTTTAATTGTATTCTAATTTATTGTATTTTAATTGAATCAATGGCACTGAGGGGGTTACTAGTCACTAAGTGAAAATATTTTTTTCCAGAAACGAAAGAAGCAATAATTAATAATTGAATTAAAATTTTAGAACGAAGTCAAAGTTAAAAACTTGATGAAGATCACTTCAACATCAACTAAGGGGGCGATGTTTTTAGCAACAAAGGAAGCAATAAAAATTATACAAGTATCATTTTATTGTGAAATTTTCACTAAACAGTATCTACCACCATACTGAAAATAAAATATTGATTGTTGAAATTTAATTGTAGTCAACATCACATAGGGGGTACTTTTAATATAATATAGTAATATAGTATGAGTGAACTTTGAAAACTGAATTGGGTTTCATGAAATTTTTCACTGCTGTATCAGTTTTAACTGTATTTTGATTGTAGTCAACACCACTGTCATTTTAAAAAACTTCCAGTGGTAAAATAGATTAAGTAAATTTCAATAATGAAATTAAAAATCAGATTCAGTTGTATTTTCATTTCTTTCATTTTTCGTGGTAATTTAATTGCATTCAACATAGCGCTGAGGGTAATTTTTTGTTCATTATCCGAAGACTCAACTTGTCACTCATGTCTTTTAAGATTCTGACCATTAACTAATTTTTTTTCAAAAACAGAAGGTCACGGATTTGCAAATACTTTGGCTTCAGTCTCAAAATACTAAGGTGGCCTAGTACTAGAAATTTCAACAAACCTGTTGCAGTACTCATTAAGATTCAAAATTTCCAAACTTCATGCTACACCCTGTACAAGAAAATAAGCATATTTAAATTATGGAAATGATCGAGAACACAAAAATTCATGTTTAAGGAACAAGGGAACTAGGAAAGATTTTCATTCTAACGTAGTCATCCAAAATAGACCTCAAACTATCAATAGTAGGCTTTGGAAATGTTAAACTAAAGCCCAACTGCTTCAGTTTTCCTCCGTCTAACCTCAGATGCTTGTGCAGGAGAAGCTCAGAATCCATGTGAGGAGACAGAGGGGTATTATCGATGCCGTTTCTTCGGCAACTCTCTGCCCAAGGAGTCAAGTGTTTGTCATTAGCATCATCTGCTGCGCCCACTAGATCAACCACAGCTGATACTAAGTTTCCATAGTAGTCAATTTTCAAGTTGAATAGCTCTGATAAGATGCTAGAGATCGAGCCCTGAGTGGAATCTGCGTCGTCAACAACGTTGTAGACCTGAAAACAATGGATCAACCAAAAATATTGGCACAAGTAGAAGCACTAACCTGTCCGTTTGTATCGTCCCTGTTTCCTACAAACCAGATGGCTCTGCAAACATCTTCTACGTGGACAGTATTGATTTTAAGTTCAGCATTCCATAAAAGCTTCATGGTTTCTCCCATGTGCTTGTAGATGGCAGCAGCCATCAGTCTCGGCATTAGGCCTGTTCTGTCCCCAGGTCCATATACCACAGGCAGTCTGATGATGGTATAGCATAACTCTGACAAGTCAGCCAGCTTTTTCTCTACCTGAAAATGTACAGATGCAGGCAAAAAAAATTTCAGAAAAAGTTATGAATACTATAAGGCCTCTGTATATCCAGTAATTCAGTTGCAGAAATGGATGGAGTCGCCATGGGAAAATTCATGAATTAATTCAAATATTAGTTCTTTATAGTGGACAAGTTGGTTTTTTTGGCAGGTCATGTGATTCAAAGACAGCTGTACTGGATATAGTTTCCATTTCAACTTCAATTATAATCAGATGTATATTTGTGGCATGTCATCACTGGATTTACGAAAGGCATTTGACACAGTAAATGACGACTTCTTCGACAAAAAAACTATACTGGGATTGGAGGAATAGTATTTACAAATCAGTGTAGAGTTTCACAAGGTTCTGGTTGACGTTCAACTCTATTTTTAATTTATATTTATTCTACTAGATTGCTGAATTTATGTGATTCTACCAGTATTTATAATGGCAATATAACCGTTTCACTTTTCTATAGATATCAATATAATTGAATAATCTATTATAATTTTCTGGTTTGGATCCCATGTTATATTTGAATTTCTATAAATCTTGCTACACAAATATACAGAAAAATTTTACGAAAGGCATTTGATAAGTAAATGAAGACATTCTTCTGCAAAAAACTTTACTGGCATCAGAGGAATAGTATTTACAAGCATTTAAAATTCAGTGAGGAGTTCCACAAGGTTCTGTTTTAGGTCCAACTCTATTTTTAATTCATATTTATTCCATTCTACAGCTGAATTTATGTGATTCCACCAGTATTTATAACAGAAAGATAACCGTTTTACTTTTCAATAGATATCAATATCTGAATTGAAGGGGTTATATTTTTTAAGAGTGATTAATTTTTGGGAAAGAAAGTTTTTGGCTTTCTACTACTCCATCTTGATACAAAAAAAGAAGGATGAGGGAATCTTCCAAAGAAAGGAAAGAAGTAATCAATTTGAAAATAAGTAACTCCATACATGGATGTGTAGATCATGCAAAGAAGTAACTTTCAGACACAAACTGAAAGAAAGTCCTCCTGAAACAGCTACTTTCATATAAACATTGAATTACACGAAAGAAAAAAACTCTTTCGAAAAAAAAGACTTCTATATGAACACTGAATTATACAGAAGATACNTTATTATTTAACATTGAAGCTTTTGGAATTTTTATTATTTTATCTTTATAATTTTATTATTTTATCTTCACATCAACTCTAGTGGGGAATTTATACAACACATTTAACATTGTCAGCTATTATATTTTATCTCTACAATTTTATTATTAAATCAACTATATTCAACTGTTTTGACTAGTCTGATAAAATGTTATATATTATGTGTGTAATGTTCTCTTCTATTGCATGAGCATTTGACTATGAGAAATTTCTGTTTGAAGCGGGTGCCGCGCGAGCCCATTGTTGACCAAAAACAAGAAAGTCTTAGTGTTCGACCATGTTTGAACGGAATGTTTGCGTTGATATGTGACAATGGATGAAACATGGATCCATTAATTCACTCTGGAATCAAAATGATCGTAATCGGAATGGAGAGCAACTGGTGAACCTTGTCCAAAGCGCAACAATCGGCTGGAAAGGTTTGGCCTCGGTATTTTGGGATGTCCGTGGTGTAATATTGTCAAATATGGAAAATAATCATGAAATAATTCAAATTCATTTAAGCGAATACATGAATTGCAAGATGTTCCAATCACGACTTTAATATTCTAAAACAAAAACACTCAGTATTCAGAGTTTCATCTTTTAATATTCCAAGTTCATAGACCTCAAAGTTGATATGATCACAGAATATAGAAATATAAAACAATCTCCAAATACGCAAACTTTGCACAGATCCCATATTGAGCATTTTACCTTAGTACAGTGACCGGATCAAAGTTGCAATGGATGGCAGAAAACGAGTTTCCATGCAACCCAAAATTCG